CATTATCTTGGAAAACTCATGATATTTGGGAAAGGTTCTGGTTAACTGGAAAATGTCAAATATAGTGCCCATCTTTAAGAAAGGAAAGGAGAATCCAGGGAACTGCAAGCCGGTCAACCTCACCTGTGTCCCTTGGAAAAGTATGGAGCAGGTTCTCAAAGAATCCATTTTTAAGCACAGATGAGATAAAGGTGCTTAGGAACAGTTAGCATAGATTCACCAGGGCAAGTCATGCCTGACCAACATGATTGCCTTTTATGGTGAAATGACCAACTCACTGGATGTGGCGAAAGCAGTGGATGTGGTATACCTTGACTTCAGCAAGGCTTTTGATACAGTCTGCTACAGCATTCTCACAAGCAACCTAAGGAAGTACAGGTTGGAGGAATGGACTGTAAGGTGGATAAAAAACTGGCTGGAGCATCAGGCTCAGAGGGTAGTAATCAATGGCTTAATGTCTAGGTGGCAGCCGATATTAAGTAGGTCCCAGAGGTCAGTCCTAGGGCTGGTGTTGTGCAATATCTTAATTAATAACCTTGAAGATGGCATAGAGTGCACCTTCAACAAGTTTGCAGATGACACCAAGCTGTGGGGAGTAGTAGAAACACTGGAGAATAGGCCTAGGATTCAGTGACCTAGATAAATTGGAGGATTCAGCCAAAAGAAATCTCAATGAAGTTCAACAAGGACAAGTAAGAAGACCTGCACTTAGGATGGAACAATCCTATGCACAAGTACAAGCTGGGGACTGACTAGCTAGGCAGCAGCTCTGCAAAAAAGGACCTAACTGAGAGGGGATTTAATAGAGGCCTTCTGAAGGGTGATTCTAAAGAGAAAGGAGCTAGACTGTTCTTCTCAGTGGTGGCAGATGACAGAACAAGGAACAATAGTCTCAAGCTGCAACAAGGGAAATTTAGGTTGGATATTATGAAGAAAATTCTCCCTAGGAGGGTAGAAAAGCTCTAGAACAGGATCCCCAGAGAGGTTGTGGAATGTCCATCCTTGGAGCTTTTTAAAACCCAGGTAGATAAAGCCTTGGCTGGGATGATATAGTTGTGGGTGGTTCTGCTTTGAGCAGGGGGTTGGACAGAATGACTTCCCGAGGTCCCTTCCAAACCTGATTTTCTGTATTCTATTAAAATAATACTAGGTACCAAAGAACAAGACCACCCCAACCTCAGTCATCAAGCTCTAGTACACTGTTGATGCTTTAGTGTGTGATCACTTAGAAGCAGACTTTCAGGCAATCATCAACATTTTTACCAAGGCATACAAGAAAATGTGATTGGTGCTTAATATTCATGACTAAGGTCCTCCATCAACAAGCTCTTAGTGAGCAGAAACCAGATTCATGGTGAGACCCTGAAGAACGTTGAGTATTTGCCGTACCTCAGAAACCATCTCTTGCAGAAAGCTGACATCAGTGAAGAAATCCAACACCACCTCAGATGTGCAAGTGCAGCCTTTGGACACCTGAGGAAATGGTTGTTTGAATATCATGCCATCAGATCTGAAACCAAGCTAATTGTTTGTCAAGCAGCCATGATCCCCGCCTTACCATATGGAGCTGAGATGCGGACAATGTACAGGAGACACCTGAAGTTGCTGGAGAATTATCAATAATGTTGCCTGGAAAAGAACCTCCAAATCCAAAGGGTAGACAGACACACCAACATTAGCATCCTCTTGCAAGCAAATACCATGACCATTGAGGCAATGATCATCCAACATCAGCTTCACTGGGCCAGCCACATCATTCAGATGTCCAACTCCAGAATCCCAAAGCAAATTTTATTCTTCCAGTTCAGTCAATGTGTATGCTTAAGAAAAGGGCAGAGAAAGTGCTTCAAGGATGTCCTCAAGGCCAACTTGAAAAAAAGCAACATTGATATCAACCTGTGGGAGACTATCACCTAGGACTGCCCCAAGTAGAAGAAGAGTCTAATGTTTGGATCTTGCCTTCATTCTAGATGGTGACCTTTGTGGGGCAGGGTCTGGTTTTTTTTATTCATTTGTAGGGTACTGATACAACTGGACCCTAATTGGGGCCCATACATACTAACACAATATAGAAAAGAAATAATAATCACTGAAAGCCTTGCCTGGTGGAAATCATATGTTTCTTTGCTTTACTCTGAAACCTTACAATGACAACAGGAATAAAAAAAATGGGTGCAGCAAAAACAGCATCTCATGGACCAAACCAAGAACTCAGAGCCACCCATCCTGCATGAAAACATATAAGAAAGGCTGATGCAACCTGGTGCTGGAAGTTATCCAAATACACACACATGTTTTTTAAAAGAACGTTTTCTTGTAAGCATCACATACATTCACCTTGATTGATAACTACAGATCATCACAAAGTGCTAGCCAGTGTGATTTCTGAGTTATCTGATACAATTACTTACTACTGAACTTCCTACATCTGTGAGAATTCAACCCCCATCAGAATTAGCTTTCCTCTAATAACCAATCTAATTGCTGTGAGGTCCTCATGAAGAAACAGTCATCAATGGCTACTATGCTAATTCAGTCACCCTAAAATACAGTTCAGATGAAATGCTCTACTGAAATGGACTGTTCCTCAAGTATAATCCTTTTGAGACAATCATGCTATGTCAAAGATGAATTTGGACCACTATGTCTGAAATCAAGCCACATCAATATTTATTAAGAACAATCCAAGGAATGCCTTCCAGCAGAACTACTTTTCACAGACATTTTTTCAAACATGCACATTTATTACTCCTGGAAAGGATTATTTCATTTGAAATATTAGACCAATTTAAACTGTGCACTAGGCCATAAAATGGAAGAGACAAGGTACGTTGTTGTAAACGTATGTGGAGTTAGGTCAAATCAAAGACACTTTCCTCCACGTAGAACTGTGAAAAGGGCTGGGATAACAGTCTGGAATATAAAAGATGCTTTTCTTCATCTCAATCCTGGCTTTTGAGATGCAGACAGGATCTCAGAAGTTGCTTAACTTCCTCCCCTCTCTTTTCTTTTGGTTTGTTGGGGTTTTTTTCTTTTCCTTGTCCCACTAATTTTTCTTCCACAGAGGTCAGAAGTTATTCAAGGCCAAAACAGGTCAGGCCAATGACCCTCAGAGAGAACCAAGTTCCTGATGATAACTAAGCATGCCCAACAATCCAATGTTAAAGAAAACTGAAAAAAAATGTAATTTAAATGCTAAGCATAATCTTGACTAGCTGTCTTTCCTTTCTTAACTTAAATAATATACATCTATAATCTCCAATTCACATCATACAGCTGCACCATGACTCAACCATTACTGTTTTTTCCTTTTTGTTTAAATAGAAAATGTGAAAGATTTATTCTTGGAAGAAATAACAGCAAACAACAACCAGGAAACAATTTCTAATGCTAAAAATACTAAAGCTACCCTATTAGTTGAAGAAACACGTGGGGGGAAAAAAGGGTCACATGGGTCATCTTGGTACTGCCTGAGGTTACATATGGTCAGGAATTTTATTTTCTAGATTGCTCTAGAATCTCCCACTTTGAGATTTATGCAGAAAAATTACAAAACAAAATCAGCACACTTTGATGCCCTTGAAAGACCATGGCTTAATAGGAAATACCTCAAGATCTTACCAGAATATTTCCACACCAGGTGCACAGAATTTTGCCTTTGATAGTCAACAATATTCTCTGCAGAAACCAGTTGGCATCTAAGTATTCATTATACAAATATCATTTTTTGAAATATGAGCATGGCCTCTTAATGTAGGAAGAAAAATAGCTAGCGACCTCCCTTACGTGATCAGTTATGTTCTTGTTCAGAAAGACATGAATCTTCAGTGCGGTAATGATATAAAAGCAATCCGTGTAGTCATATGGGTTTACACTATCAAAGGGCCAAACTGAAGGGGAATGCAGTTAAGACCGGCATACTGGCGGTTAAGAATGGCATACATAAGGCATTATACCCTGGCAGGGTTTAATGTAGCAGTCCTTAGTATGGTACTGTGCTTACACTGAAAGTTCTCTTTCTCTAGCGTGGCCTTGGGATGGTGCTTATTATGTCAATATTTAACATGTCAATATTGAATCCATTAAACATACTTGATATCAGTATGTAACATTTGGTAGCCTTTGATACTACTTTTCACTATACTTAGAACAGGAAACAAATAATTTTAATTCCAATCACAATATTATTTTTAGAGCTGAGAATCCATTAGCTAACACTGCATGAAGCATATATGTTTACACAAAAAAATCCTTTTCTAACTGAAAAGAAGGCATTCTAATATTATTTCAAAACACAAGTTGTTTTAGATGTCAAAACAAAGAAATGATCAGAAACATCCTATTGTAATTTTGTCTGTTACATGTTGGATTATTCCTAAAAAATTCATTTTTGTCCAAGTTTTCCGGTGAATTAAATTATAAACAGGTTAAAGCGATTAAGGATATTTCATGTAAAGATAATCCCAGATTACTTCATAACTGTACATAATTTATTAGCGAAGATTTGACTATATGTTATTAAATAGGGCTGGCAAAACAGTTAAGATTTTTCATAAGACATTTTCAGAAAACACTAAAAATCAATTTAATTCTGCTCAGTATAGACCCAGTCTGTTAAACTAAGTGCAGACAAAATTAATTTGCCAGATATATCCTGAACTGTTCTAATTATGGGATTTCGAGAATAAAGGCTACAAGAGCTTTACTGATTAAAACACTTATTTTCCACTCACAATTTTGTCAAAATAAATTCCTTTGCAGCTGAACTTGCTTATTTTGTTGTCTCAGCTCCAAGGTGTTCTTTCTAAAAGTTTCAGCAAAATCTACTGACTTCATATTCAATTTATTTTGTAGGAGAATAACCAGTAAGAGTTTCTTTTGCCCTTCCCTAAACTGACATTCAGTTTTGGAGGAGGTGATTTAGAGAAAGGAGATGCTATAAAAATGTAAATAATGTCATATTAAGGGAATTATCTGTGCTGGTGTACAGTGGTGGATTGCTTAATATTTGCAAGGGGCTTAATTTTAATGACTTATCTCAGTTATAGAAACAGTCTTGCCATAGCAGCATAGAGGTCAGACTGAGCTAATGTACTCTGCACCTTTCTGCATTGAGGGTATGACACTTATGCTGGAAACAGACATCCTCTTTGAATTGCAATCAGCTGTACCGCAACATGTCAGGGCACAGCTGCTTTGCTTAAATGACATCTGCAGATGTCACCAGGGCTGTTGTCCCACTGGGTCAGTCCCCTGCCCCTCTCAGTAATCCAGGGGCTCAAAACTGTAGGAAAAGGGCCCTGGGTACCACGCCCTGACTTGGGGGACACATCTGCATGCAGGAAAAGGGCTCAATCCTCTGCACTTGCATACCAGAGGGGATCCCGTGTTGAGGGGATTCAAGTACAGAGTTGGGGGAACTTCCATGGGGATCTCCCCTCTCCCTTGCCCCATCTGCATTTGTGCACTGCGTGTTGACCCAGGGTGTGGCACCATAATAAGCGCTCTGGGGCCTAGTGTACTTTTGTCACTTGCAGATGTGTGCAGGGGCAATAATTCCCCCAGTGAAGTGTAGAAGAGGAGAGGGGAACTGCTGTGGGAGTCATTTCCCCTGCACATTCTGCAGGTCCCCGCTTTTCCTTACACACTGTCATTGGTAAATTGCTTCATATATCCAAGCAAGCTGGAGTAGCTCTACATGACACTGCTGTCAATAGTGTAAATATATCCTTAATCTTATTAGTTCCATTATGAACTTCGGTGAAGCTGTTTAAGTGCTTAAAAAGTAAGTGTGTACTCAGTCATGTAACTAGGAGTACACAAGTGGGGCACCAGCCCTGGGCACAGCTTAGAGGGCACCACCAGAATGGTGGCCTCAGGGAAGCTTACACAATGGTGACAGCAGGAACCTGTATACAACAGCAGCAGCAGTTGTTGCCAGTGTGTGGACAGCCTGGGCTGCCAGCAGCAATAGCAGGGGTATCTGCTTCTGATAAGACTTTTTGCCACTTAGCACCCCCACCTTTACCCAGGGGGCCAACATTCCCACTTCTATCTCTGTATTTGCCTATGTGTTTTGCTAGAGGTCTTACCATCTGGCATGGTCAAGACCCACAAGACCCATCCTTTCCTTGCATCTATACCAAATATCATTTAGGCCCTGGCTGCCCAATTTCTGGATGGCATGGGGCTGCAGACCCCATGGGCCACAAACTCCAGGTCACCCACCATATGGGAGACCCTCCTTGGTGTCCCCCACACTGGATGAGCAGCCTGGCTCCCCTCTGTTGTGTGGTCAGTACAACCAACCCAGCTCCTTTCTCCTGTGCTGGCTGTACAAGCGGCAAAGCCTTTTTTTTTTGTCGTGCATGCAGCCTGAGCAGACAATCCCCTCTCTTGATGTACGGGTATCCTTGATCTCCCCTTAATGCATATCCAGTGTCCTTCTGCCAGCCACCCCCTAGAGCAGGGGCAGGAACAGAAGCTGGTTGATGGCGGGAGAGCCTGGAGAACTCAGCCACCACAGCAGCAGAAGTGATGGGGGAAGCAGCAGCTGGGCAAGAACTGGGGGGGCTGTATATAACCTTGCACACAGCCCACAGGCCACCAGTCAGACAGCCCTAATCTAGACTCTGATCCTACAAATCACTATACACTATATAACCTTTTGCACATGAGTAGTTCCTTTGAAGTCAATAGGACTATGCTCATGGACTTAAACGTATGCATAAGTATTTTGCTGGACAGGGGCCTGTATCTTTTATTCATGATTCAAAATCCTTGCTAACCTTTGCTGATATTTCTGCTGCAATTGTATAACTGCATGTTGTATAAATCAGAGGGTACATATTTAGTTGCAAATGAAGAGACATATTCGGAGCTTCATATTCAGAATGGTTTGGCACCTATATAGAGGGCCCAGATAGCAAGTTACTTATGATAGGGGAGTTGGGGATTAGGATTATTTGTACAACTGGCAGGGCTATAAAAAAATTGTGTGCATTTCTTCCCTGCCCCAGTCTTCTGTTTTTCAAAAATAACAACCAAAATCCTTTAATTCACACCCTTGTATTACACTGAGGAATGGATTAAATGGATCAAATTAAATAAATAGAAAATCCATGTCAGAAATGGAAAAACTGCAGCCAGAAAAGCAAGAAACAGCAGTATAATACATAACAGCAGTAGTGTGCCAGGACAAGTTTGCCCCTCAATATGTCCAGGTAGACTCAGAATCATAGGTTTTGTGTTAAGTAGAACGTTCTCCCATTAGAAAGCCTGAAGCTGAAAAACAAATCTTTTAAAGGATTTCTACTAGCTACACTTCCCATTCTTCAACTTATCACTAGTCAACATGCTGGTTTCAGAACATAAGGCTTTGGAGAATGGATTTTTGCCTGAGCAGCAGGTTTGCTGGCTACTTTACTGGTTGCATGCACTGAGCTCCACACTCACAGGACCACAGTGCTATCTATGCTCACAGGTTTAAAAAGCTAGCCACAGTATATCTAGCTGAGCTGTAGCCACATCTTTGCAGTGGAGCCATACTTTTGGGAATTGGTTAATGGTGGTTTTCAGACTTTTGCCCTCAAAACAAGGTAAAGCCCACATCAGGGGCTACCCCCAACTTTTGCCCTGTTGCAAAAGCATTGTGTCACCTGAGAAAAAAGTCTATGATGCAAGAACACCACCACAATCCTGCCACATTTCCGAATGTACCCTCATTCTAAATGTACCTGCAGTTAGCAGGTGACGCTGCAGGTAGCACTCCAGAGCAGGTATATGCTGGAATGTGATCTTTAATTATTACCTGACTATATGCTACAGCAGTGAGGGCCAACGTTTTCGGCAGGCATGCCAAAAATTAGCCCCATAGCTTCCCCAAGTGCCACTCCAATCCCCTTCCTCTGCCTACGTTGCTGCTCTGCTTTCTGCTACATACCCTATGCTCTCTGCCTGATTTGTTGCTTTGTGTGACAAAAATAGAACCCCTGAAAGGAACTTACCTGGGGAAGAAGACAAGCAGAGCCGCTGCGAGACCACGCCAAGCTGAGGGAGCAGCGAATGCAGAGCCACAGCCAGAGAAACCACCGTGCCAGAAGGAAAAAAAAAGCAAAAAAACAGCTGATCCAGGAGGAGCCAGGATTGGCTCCTGTGCCAGTGTGGACACGCTTTATGGCCGTGTGCCAGTGCCAATTCGCTGGCCAGCCCACAGAACCAGGAATAAAAACCACGCCAGACAGGAAGCTGGGGGGACCAGAAGTGGGCTTCCCTTGCGGGCACTCAGTGACCCAGAACAGAGCTGTGCTCCATGGAGGGAAAGTGGTGGCAGCCCCAAGATGGGGCTTTTGGAGATATTTCAAGCCCAGAAAGGCAGTATTACTTACCTGAGGCAGAGCCGTGGATTCATGACCTCTCCTGAACAACGGATTGGGCTCACCAGGAAACTGCGGAGAGAAGAAGAGACAGCTGTCTGTGCCATGGTGATGACAGACTAAGAAAACTGAAACCAACACTGAAAGTCAAGGTAACCTGGGGTCAGGAAGAAGCTAGGTCAGGCCCAGTGAGGCAAAAGCCAAGTGAGGTGAACTGACATCCGTACATTTTTATACAGTTTCAAACGGCCAAGACATGTGTACCAACACCATGACCAAACCTAGAAGACCAGGATTCAACATCATTGGTTGGTGTTAGGTGGGGTATAGGGGAGGTGGAGCCCCAAAATGGGAAGACTGACAGGAGGATCAAAGGAGGGGACCAGGAGGGATGGAACTTAGATCTTCCTCCCTCCTAAATATATTTATTCTAGCAAAGAAATGGCAGGTGAGAACTGTGACAGCTGAAATTATGTCTGTGTGATAAAAGTGCTTGCTGAAGGCTCTATGAAGATTAGACTAAGTGTTTTTCTGTATTTGTTTAGATATTAAGCTATATGTTGTTGCTAAAAGCCTAAGTAAAGTTTAAGATGTAGTGAGGCCTTGTATAAAGTAAGGCCTAGTAAATTTAGCAAAGCCTTGAAGTAGTAAGGCCCTGTGGCATAGTTACAATTACTTTATCAAAGGAATGCAAGGCTTGTAATGCTATTGGTCAGTCTAAGGACAGTTGAAGTAAAAAGAATCTGAGTGGTTGTACATTATCAGTACCATTCAGGAGCTATAAATTAGCTGAAATATCTGGAAACCATTCTGAACAAAGATACAATCTGTGAAAAGGATTAGTTAGCTGTTGGCCTGGATCAGTGGGCCTGTGGACTTTGAGGAGCCCAAGGACTGAATTCCAGGGTCCTTCCTAGTACCTCTCTGACAGCGCTGATAGGGGACACCTGACTTCACTGAACTTTGTGGAAAGAGAAACTTGCTGTACATCAGGCATCAGAGGGGACTGCCGATAAGTTGCCGACGTGAATTGCTTTTGTCTGTCATTGTTTGTTTTGTTACTACGCGTACTTGTGTTCTTGTTAAGCCAATAAATCTTTCTTACCTTTCTACCCCCGACCATACTTTCAATCCTGACCCTTCTGCAGGTGGTTGGGACAGAGAACCACTGAAGACCTTCTGAAATCTGACTCGATAATTGACCATCTTTCCTGTGGCCAATGGTGACATCTGATAAACTGGTACACACCAGATGCTCTGGTGAACAGCACAGCCAAATACACTTTGCTTTCTGCTTCTTGCCCTATCTACATGCTGTGCTTCTTGTTCCCTCCCTGATCTGCTGCGTGTAACACACAGAGACTGCCCATGCCAAAGATTGGCCACTCATGTGCTACAGTCTCTCTCAAGTAATACAAAAAAGCATTTTTTCTCCAATGCTATATAAGTGTGTGTAACAACTAAGCACAGTGTAAACTGTTCTTTCATATTCCTGGTGATTCCATGAAATTAACTTCTATGGAAATTATACAATGAAAACAATACATAGTCCACATATTACAGAGGCAGTATTAATTTAAAACTGCAGTAAAAATATACTCGGTGTAGAATTTAATAAACTGCTTCAATGTTTTTATCACTTTAAAGGCAGTTTCACTAACACATTTTAACAGTAGATAGATTCGGTTTATTCGTCAATTAATACCTTTTATTATAAAGGCACTCATTCTCCACTGGTGAGATATGAAGGCTTAAATGGCTGTTTACACTATTTTGCTCCTTTATTTGGTGTAAAGTGGCTGAGAATATCTCTCACAGATAGCAGATACAATTAAATCATTAGCATCAGCAGTTGAATATCTTCTTAAAGGAAGGGGGTGAGAATAAAAATAAAATAAAATTTAAAAAAAATCAAACATACTTGCTCTTAGCTAGTTAGAAATTCATAACCTTCAACTTAATAGTATACAAATTCTCACACAACTTCTCAACCATTAAGAATTTCTTAACAATATGTTTATAAAGAGTAAATCCAATAACTGTTATAACTGCTTTACAGTTCAGAAATGTGGACTACATATGCTAGGCACAGCAGGAGATTGAACAGCTTCCACATGAGATGTCTGCCCAAGATCCTGAAAATAAAGTGGGAAGACAAAATGCCAGACACAATGGTGCTGGAGTATGCAGGACTGACACACTTATCAATCACTATCAACAAGAAGAGGTTGTGATAGCTTGGCCATGTCAGGATAATGAGAGGAGGCCATAACCTCAAGAATATTTTGTACAGCAAGATTCAGGATGGCTCTAGAAAGCAGGGTCATCCTTTATGGCAGTACCATACCAGATGTGTGCAAAAATTATATGAAGTCATTCAACATCCAGATCAAAAGCTGGGAGGAGTGCACAGAATGCCATCAATCTGGAGAGAACATCTGGCACTGGGTAGAGCTCAACATGAAGCAGCTTTGATCCAGAGAATGGAAGCAAAGCGAGAAAAAAGGAAGCAGCACACAGTAAACTCAGACTCCAATTCAGACAACACCTGGATCTGTAAAACTTGTAACCAACTATGTTGCTCTTGAATTGGTCTTGTCAGTCACAAGCAAACTGTTCAGGCACCTGATTATACCTCTTAACACACAGCACCCTGATCCAGAGGTTGCCTACAAATCCAGTAACAAGAAAAATTAGTAACTAAATATGTTTACAAGGGCTGAATGATTAATCAGAGAAATTAAAGAGATATTGTTTGCAATTCTCAAGAGATCTTTGAACAGGCTTGACTCAACTGCCTACTGAAAGCAAAGAAAGCAGAATTCTGGAATACAGGTTGTAAGACTGCCCGATGAAACAGCAGTGTGAACAGTCACAGTCCAAATACATAATACAGAAGTACATATCATATTAAAATATGTCCATTAAAAAGTATGTTATTACTTACATTTTCAAATTCAATCCATATATAGTGGACTGTTAATCATCACAAATGAAAAAAAAAAGGTGTTACATGTCTATAAAAATTATGGAAAATTGATTTTTCTTTTTTTCTTTTTAAATGCATACAATAAGTCTGCAGTATGGTACACTTGTAACAATTGTGTAATCCTAAGACTCTATGCGCTTGCAGCAGGTCAAATAGAAGTGGTGCAAATTTGAGCCAGGGCTTTTTGCCTCAACACACATGCTTGGACATGCACTTTCTTGTGGAGCAAATTGTGCCACTTCGGGCAAAATAACCCTGTCTAGCTCCTTCTGGATCTGCAGCCAGGGGGAGCTAGAGCCCAGGGCCAGCACCTGTGCTGTCCGAGCAGTATAAAAAGCTGCCCTGGCAAGTAGCTCAGGGCTACTCGCTCTCAGGACCTTCTGGGGCCCAGCCAATTGGTACCTAGGGACACTATCCCTTGTGCCAGCTGGACTGCTGAAGCAACCATGAGAGTTCCCTGCACCTTTTACCCACTGTAGCAGTCTGGCAGTGGGGCTGCTGCCTGTCTGTGACCTGCTGCGACCTTCTGTGCACCTGCCAGACCCGGATGGGGACTGCACAGCCAGTAGAGGCATCTGTCCCTCTGGGCCAGCTGCCAGTGTCCTGTGGCTTCAGGGTTGGCCTTTGTGCGGCACTACTGCCATGTGTGCCCCCTGCCCGGCCATTTGGGCAGCTATCACCCAGAAGATGTTCTGCGCATGGTGGCCCGCTTTGAACTGTCAACCTATGTTCTCCTGGCCCCAACTGGCCAGGAGGTTAGCCACAGCCAGATGGGTCCACGGTGCCAGCTCTGAGCAGGCAGGGTCATGCCACTAGCCTCCCTACCAGAAATTCTAGTGTTCCCTATTGGAAAACTGAAAAATCCCTAATAAAAAAATCCCAAAGTCACTCTGTAAAATACCCAAAAATCCATGTTCCTCCACAATTAAAACAAAAGACCGCTATAAAGAGAGAGAGAGAAAGAGAGAGAGAGAGACAGAGAGACAGTGATCAGTTGAGCAATGTTTTATTGATATATCTAGTGTTAAAGCAATTTGGAAGACTACCAGTGTCTCTATCATCATAATAAAGTGAATTCTAAATACATGTTTCATGAATTCATGAATATATATTTTGCTGCCAGCCACACAGGCTACAGGCCCCACCAACAGGAGC